AGTCAGTGCTATGGGTTATTAAGTTAGGAAAAACAGTCCCCACGCAGAGGTGGTAGATTGCAAATGAGCATTGTCAAAAGGTTCGCAGTTGGGACGCGCCTCGGAGTGGCTGAACACTGCTGCGTTGTGGGGAGAAATTGGACTCCGCTTCCCACAGCCATTATGCCGGAGTTACTGGCGCGTTTTTTGCGGGGATTTTTGACGGGCCCGCAACACCTCCCTTTGAAGAGAGAGCGTACCGCTTCTGGCGAGGATTGACCTGGAGGGATTTCGGTGACCTCCGGATTCTTTCTGTTCGTCGGCAAGGTGGGTTCTCGAGATGCGGCGGCGACTGAGCGGCTTCGACCGTGGTCTGTCGTTGTGTGGCCAATCCGAAAGTATCCAACAGGATGTGCAGCGGCAGGCGCACGGGATAGCTGGCTGGCATGGAGGTTTCTTCGTGGCGCGGACGAAGTTGATTGCGATGGCGAACCCAGGTGTCATCACCTACGGAGACATCATGCAACATATCACCTCGCCTGGCCGTCACTGTTGCTTTGATCCAGCGAGGATGACCTGCTCGGTAATCACGAGCGTAGACTGGGGCTCCGACGGCGAATTCTTTATGCTTGGTGCCGGCACCAGAGTGACTAGGTGGCTTCTCAGTCGGAATGAGCGCATCGTTTGTGGTGCGTAGCTTGCGGCCCATCAATGCTTCAGCTGGTGACTGGCATCCTGGCGTAGCTGGATTCGGTGTGGACCGGTACGAGAGCAGGAACGCTTGAAGACACTCATCCACGGTCCCCTCCCCGCGAGATTTCAAAAGCGCCCTCTTGAATGTGTCGACAAATCGCTCCGCTTGACCGTTGGATTGGGGATGGTACGGCGGTGAGCGGAGGTGTTCGATGCAGTGTCGGCGGCAAAAGTCTTCGAAAACGGAAGACGTAAACTGGGTACCATTGTCGGACACCAACACCTCGGGAAGGCCATGTTGACTGAAGATTCGTTGGAGACAAGCCAGCGTAACGGATGCGGTTGGGGGGTTGACGGCGACCACTTCCGGCCATTTGGAATAGGCGTCGACCACGGCCAGATAGGAAATGCCATCGATAGGACCAGCGTAATCGATGTGCACACGAGACCCCGGTTTTGCTGGCGGATGCCAAGGAACTGATGATTTTTGTGGTGGCATCTTTGAGGCTTGTTGAGAATGCTGGAACACGGGGGCGGATTGATTGGCTTTGTCGTCAGTTCGGTCGTTTGGCACTGTCGGAGTATGTACCACGTTGCAGATGGCCCGAAGAGGAAGATCGGCCAAGCCAAGGGTTTCGAGCCAGTCGAGACCAAGTACGTTGAGCTTCGCCTTTGTGATGTAGCAGATCGCGTTGAACGTGGCGCCCCGGAAGGAGACGGAGCAGTGCAGCTGCCCAGTTAGCTGCACGCGACCACCACAGGCGCTGGTGGCAGATTGGGAGGTCGGTTCGAAAGGTGGCTTGCCAAGGGATCGCCAGAGATCCTCGGAGATGATTGTGATGTCCGACGCAGTGTCCAACTGCAATCGGACCGACTGACCATTGATCAAGACGTCGACGAACTTTCTCCGATCCGCAGCGTTGATTTGGAACGTGGCCAGCAGGCTCAGGGAGCTGCCAACCGGACCAGGTTTGAGTGTGCGTCTGGGTCGGGACCTCTTCTTTGGATCGCGGGTGGGGGCCAGCCCAGTTTTGGCCCCCTTGGGAGATGGAGGATGGCAGTAACCATCCCGGTGCCCCACCCTGCCACAACGTTGACAACGATGCTGGCGGAAATTGCAGTCCCGGTGGAAGTGCCAGGCACCACAGAATCGGCACGCGTAGGGTGGGGACTTCGCTCGGTCGGATTGGGTTGGGCGCGCGGACGATTGCGCCCTCGGTGCTGTGACTGCCTGGACCATACCAGGTGCGGCGGCGTTCTGGATCATTGCAGAGTCGTGCTTCAAGTTGAGCAGCGTTTGACACTCCTCCGCCAGGTTTTGGAGTGTGACTGATCCATCCTGTTGTAGCTTGGACAGGAGGCGCGTCCGGATATCGGCATCGTGTGGAGACTGGAGGCCAGAGACGAAGATCAGGCATTTGAATTGGTCCTCGGTGAGCGAACCAAGTTGAAAACGTTGGCATTCACGGTGCACCACGCCCGCGTACGTGATGAAGTCGTCGGCATCACGTTTGACCAGCTGCAGACATTGGTAACGAGCGCTGAACAGGGAGGACTGCTCGCCAAAAATCTGTGACAACGTTCGGACCGTGTCGTCAAAGGTAACGTCGCGTGAGTTCCTCGGCAAGATGAAATTGGTGTAGCGCTGGTGTTCGAGGGTACCAAGTTTGCGCAGAAGCAGGCGGACCTTCCACGCGTCGTCCTGGCACGCCAAGTCAACGGTGAACAGGTCCTCGTACCGTTTGTACCAGGATTCGAACGTTACCCCGGCCTCGGCGTCGTACAGGAATTCGCTGATGCCGCCAACCACATGGTCCATTGACTGAGAACTGGCGCTCGGACCTGCATGAAGGGAAGAACTGGGAAGTGTTTCGGTTAGCGCGGACATCAATTTAAGCTGTTGTTGCAGCATCAATTTTAAATCGGCATATTCGTCAATCATGGTTCGCCAACCCTGTCGCCACTGTTATAATTGAGGGAACGCCGCCTCTTGAGATAATTGCGTAATTGCCTGATAAGAGGGTCGCTGGCACGCCTACGATAATTGCTTGTTACGCTGACCACTCGAACGGAATTGCGCTGTCCTGATGACGCTGGCCTAGCCGGTGAGGCGGATAATTGAGCGAGCTTGCGAACGATCCTAGCCGCACGTGTTCGGATAGACGCCGAGCCTCGGACGGACGCAGACGAGAGGGGAGTTTACGATAGACACGCGGCTAATGACTTAGACGCGAAGGCTGGCCAGCTAACGATTCACACGCAATCACGCGGCCCGACCGACTCCCAACTGAGGCGAAGAGAAAGAAAAGACAAGTGGTCCTCTGTAGGCTCTTTTACGACCGACAAAGGGCGATCACAGTCAGTGCTATGGGTTATTAAGTTAGGAAAAACAGTCCCCACGCAGAGGTGGTAGATTGCAAATGAGCATTGTCAAGAGGTTCGCAGTTGGGACGCGCCTCGGAGTGGCTGAACACTGCTGCGTTGTGGGGAGAAATTGGACTCCGCTTCCCACAGCCATTATGCCGGAGTTACTGGCGCGTTTTTTGCGGGGATTTTTGACGGGCCCGCGACACATTGAGAGGTGCATCATCTTGTCGAATCAGTGAAGCGCATGCTTTCAAAGATGCTCACGGATGTTGCTTGCAGTCCATACTGGGTACTCTAGGTAGCAAATTTGAAGGCTCAGGTAATAAAATACGTTGTTTAGGATTCCTCACCGAGTCCAGCAAGCTTTTACAAATCCCTTTGCGTTCGGTAGCTGAGTATTACATCTGATCTTACGCCGAAGCATGTGGTTAACTCTGCTAACTCCGGACAAATATGTGCCTACTATAATTATGCTCCGTATTATGTTGTTAAAAATCGCTAGATAGTTTGTTTAATTCTAACTGCAACCCCGCGCATCTGCATTGTGTAGCGAATGCTGTAACTCAACGTGGCATGTTTTTAACCTATCGTTTTCCAGCTTACCCTGGTAACTTTCTCGTCATAAGTTAGAAGAAACAGGACGATTTATGACACAGTGTAACCCTGTTTAACATAGCGCCCAGTAATATCTTGGGTCAACGTGCGTTTGCCCCGGTCAGCAACCTATTGATGGCCTGTTGGGCTCAAAAGTCCTTATGATGAAGGCCTATTGCCTACAATAGCGGTCAAAAAGGTGTCAACATTATGACGGCTTACTTATTTTTAGGCCACAACAGCACATGGCCAGATGAGACATGGAAATGCAGACGAAGCTTCTCAGGGGACTGCGCCTCATGAAAGCAGGTTCCCAGGAGACAGTTCCACGGATGGTTTCCTTAGTTAACTCGAACCACTGCCGATATCTACATATATTCCAACGGCATAATTTCCATAGTTTTATTACTTTTAATAAATACCGACTTCTTTAGGAACTGTTTCGTAAAACTTTAAAACTTTGCTCTGCTCTCCCATGGTATCGTACGTAATAATCAGATAACGTAGTTGGTGCCCGTACGGTGCCCGTACCACCAAGGCTGGACATTGTTAAGCTCCACTAATTCCTTTTCATCAACGTAAGTGGAAACGCTAATTAGCAACGAATGTTTAGCTTCTACTATCTAAACACCGTCCGTTTCGTAGCTGTGAAAGAATTAAATCAATAGCATCACATATTCACCCATGAACTAAAAGTACTGGTTGCTTGTTCTTATCTCACGCTTATCCCACGCTTTTGGTGACGCGCTTATTTCAATGGGAAAAATGAACTGTTACGCGTTGACATGCACTAAAATTGCATCCACTTCTATGGCACTCTACGAAGTTCATACTTCGTTGTCGCTTAGGGAGTTAAACCTGTAGTAAGCAAGGATCAAAGGTGAGACCTATCAGAAAACGAAGTTTAATCCACAAGTACTCCTTAAGTACCTATACAACCACTTAAGGAACGTTACCAAAAATGACTGTTATCGCACAGCTCTTCAACTATCGCTTATATCTGGCCATGTATGCAAATCGACACCGCAGCTATCGTATATAAAGCGTTAGGGCTGGTATCGTCAGTGTCAGTTGAGACTGACACTATTTGCGTAGTCATTCTTTCTGCAAAGTTGAACAGAATTGTGCCTGACATCCTTACCCAGAGATTGCAGTTGCGCGCACATTGAACTAAGGGGCTGTGACTTGTGCATACTGGGATTCCAAATACCAAGCACGATGACTATCAATAGGAGTGCATCTGGTTCTTCTAGCTATCTTACTAATTTAGCGGTAATGGTTTACGGTTACGCCAACGGTTAATGTTTTCCTTATACATACAAGTCAATAATATCAACTTTTAGCGAGAGACGTGTAGTTAATTCCTGCGTCAAGCTGCCATCGACGGCTCACTGTCTGATGGCTCAGCGGTTGTGACCTTGGAGTCACCTGCTGATCGATTTTGAAAGTCAATAGGCGCGACAGATTTGGCCAGCTCCATTCATCCGATACGCTAGAGGTGGCAGGATGAGAGAAATCATTTTTATTCAGATTGGGCAATGTGGTAATCAAATGGGCGCCAAAGTATGTGTTCAAATTCTTCCATCGTATCGAATAATTATCCAACAGTTTTGGGAAGTGATATCAAACGAACATGGAATCGGGACCGATGGAATATACCGTGGGGACAGCGATCTTCAAATGGAGCGGTTGCACATCTACTTCTCAGAGGCTGCAGGTGAATCGGTTATTTGCCACATGACAGTGTAGCTAATACTACCAAAAAACGAAAGTACGGTGGGTTGTTTTACATCTCTTTGAGTTGCTTCGGTAAGGGATAACAATATAGAAATGAAATAGTCGACAGCCAATCGTTAGTGGTCATTGGTATATTAAAGAAAAAAAGACATTTGAGATGTTCTGTCCGATTAGGGAGGAAATTCCATGTGTGTAAAGCACACAGCGAGAAGAATTTCCTCCGACAGTCCAACCGGCTGTATTGTTCTGATAATTTGAGATGATGACCCATCAGTTTGTTGATGTGACTCAGCTCCAACAGGTGATAGCACGAGTGACTAGGATTGTTTAGAATTTGGTAAACCATGATTTTGTTACCACGCCTACAGCGTTGGCTGAAAATGTCTAGCAATCTGAGGCGCTGTTCCTAATGCACATGGCGTAGTCCCTTGAAATATTTGTCAACCGATGTTGTGGGATCTCCATGGCAATGAGATCCCGCTTCAGATTTGGACGCTATGCTTCGATGACATATTCTACAGGTGAGTGTATGTAGGCGGAAAGTACCCCGCAGAAATGGATAACTCGAAGCGTCCGAAAGCTCTCCGTAGAAGCCGCAAGATTTTGATCCCTTTCTTCGGTGGTTTTTTGGACTGTCCTGTTGAATCCATTTTGCTTTTATTGCGAGCTCAGCGCACTAGCCAGTCGTTCAGTCTTACTGGGCACGCCAGTGTAGCTCATTGCCGGGCTCCTCCAAGAGCAGATCTCTTGACCACACCATCCAAGCGCATTTCGCCACTAGCCAATGGATGCTGGTGACAGATCACTGTGAATTGTACACTGAGATACAGTTACGCAGGAGAAAGTTGACAAAGTACCTTACCCCTAGATGGGACAGAAATATGTAATAACACGGGATAACATATGGCATCTCGACCCACACCATGTTTGTCTCACCAGAATGTATTCACGATTTCATAAGATTACTCATGACTTGCAGGACTTTAGGTGTAATCTTTTAAGGTACTGCTCTGAGTAATTCACAAACCATATAGCAAAGCCTTGTCCGGAAAAACACCAGAAGCCTTTCGCCCTATTGGGGGTCGTCAGTGGTGCGCATTCCCTCGGTCCCCTACTGGGGGATCGAACTCATGGCCGCTAGAGGCAGATGCCAACTAGCCAGCAGCTTAAGCCACTGAGCCGTGGTGGACGTTGGGTGAGCCACATAATTTGCAAACTAATTGAGTAACATAAAATAAATGTCCTTTCTTAATTTCAAGTGCCATGGATATAGTGTCTAGCGAGAGGACATCATTATCTCGCAGGCTAGCCAGGAACAGTGACAGTGGAAGATAGGTGCTGGTAAATGCCAATTAGCTTACAAATTATGTAGCTCAGCCAACGTCCACCACGGCTCAGTGGCTTAAGCTGCTGGCTAGTTGGCATCTGCCTCTAGTGGCCATGGATTCGATCCCCAGTAGGAGACCGAGGGAATGCGCACCACTGACGAGCCCCAGTAGGGCGAAATGCGTCTGGTACTTTTCCGGACAAGGTTGTGCTATGTGGTTTGGGAACTACTTAGATAAACAGCTTAAAATAGTTCATAAGATTTTGAATACAAATCGGTGTTAGTAGGTTTTGTCGTGGCAACGTTTCGTTCTTGACGCAAGAGTTTCTCCGTGCTCTTGCGTCAAGAGCAAAATGTTGCTACAAGAAAAAAACCACAAAAATCCATTTTGTATTCCAAACCCTCCTAAATAAATAGATGGCATATTCCTCGACAGTGTACAGCAAGATCACATAAAACGGGTAATTAATCAAGCTTCACACAATGGTTCCAAAAATATTTTTAAAGATTTTGGCAGGTTTAAGGTAGTACAGAAATTGTGATGCCGGGAACAATAACGAATTCAGATTTAACCGAAAGTTCAAGTAAAGTAATACGGCCACCCATGGGACCGTCTTCAGAGGATCCACTTCCATTCAGAGTATTCACACGAAAGGTTGCATCCACACTTCGACGCTTTATCTGGCCGTGTGCCGGTGCATAAAGGTAGCAAGTAATCCATCACCAGCCTAAAATGTTTTTATAGTACCGTTTTTATGCATAGATTATGAGTGATGAAGCCTTAGCCCTTTCCGTCATGCGGGCCATTCAATTATTGAACTCACTGTTATGCACCAGCCAATCAGTAGCAAAGCGCCTTACATGGGCATACATTTTTTAACTTGAAAGAATCTATCCGTCATTCCAAGAGATCAGACCAGCCAGGGCCAACAATGAAATAAGGAGGAATATAATAGATGAAATTTTATGTAAGTGTGACAACGGTAATGTTAATAAACAAACAAATAGCATATTCCACAACGGCACAAAACGGATCCACAGATCATACGATCAAACTGTACGACGTGACAGCCGAAGATAGATAACTTCCCGAATTGTCCTTAGGCAAAATATACTAAAAACAGTTTTCAGATTCACCATTGATAAGAGGTATTTGAACAGTATAGAATCCGATATCGCCAAACACTGAACTTTGTATATCGTTCTATACTGTTACCTCCGGGACTGAGGAGGAAATGGTTAGGATTAGGGAGCAAATGTAGCAAAGACAACCGAAGAACAAATATCGCCCGAGTCAGTTTGAAATGGGATTACGCAGGTAGTTCCTATCCCACTCCAATAATCCATTATTGCTCTTGAATTTAGGTCAGAAGAAAGGTGGTAAATAAATTTGAGTAGAGTAATACTGCAAAAGAATAGAATAGAATGGAAGATCCGGATTGCTCTGGTGCATACGCTGAACATGTTTCCAGTCGATCATCTCCAGTATCACATATGATCCGGTCCGTCTTCATAAAGCTGTTCATCATCATCAGGCTCACTAACATCTTAAATACACATTAGATGAGGATGAGAAATGTTGCAGTACTCGATCCTTCAGGGACAAGCATTTATTCAGCAAAGACAACTCGGTGAAAATTACAACACTTTTGAAAAGCCAAACTTTTCGATATAACTCACGCGTTCACGACCATAACTTATGACACTTCTGAGGCAATGAGGTGCTTTCCTTGACTCAGTTAAACAATCGATGGTTAGCTCACACGAATGTCGGTCAATGCACAGCCAGCACTCAAATCAGTTATACCTATCATCATCATCATCATCATTACACGTTAGCTGGAGGTGGAAAACACCTCAGCTATTGTGCCGCAATACAAAAGATAAGAAAAGGAAAACAAACGGTGGCTCGCCCGCTGAGTCCCCAGTAACGGATGGACATCATTCCGGAGAGCTAACAGCTGGCTGCCGTAAAAGAGTCATATTATGCATAACAGGTGAGATCATGATTGGAGGGGGATGCTAAGCAGGAGGGGGATGGACAAAGGAACTCACAACACAAACGGCACTGGGGCCGGCTCCAAGCCATATCAGCGAGTGTGTCCAACCAAACGTGTTCATCGTCCTTAGGACCCCAGCCAGACAGTCGGGATGCACCAACCGACGCCAACTTCGAAGTGAGGGCTTTCATTTCTCGCGACCAAGTCATCACTTGGCCTCCCCTGCTCCTCTTCCAACCGCACCCACAACGCGCAAACAATGCACGTCGCTGGAGTCGATGTGTTGGCATGCGCAACACGTGGCCCAGCCATCGGAGCCTGGTGCGTGATATAATGATGCTAAGCGGTTCACTCGCTCTTCCTGCACCAAATACGTGCCGTCGAACACGCTCATTGCTCACGCGGTGCTCCCACCAGACATGAGCTAAGCTGCGAAGGCAGCGATGATCGAATGTGACGAGCCTCTTCATGTCTGTCGACCTGATGGGCCAGGTTTCACAACCATATAGGAGAGTTGAACGGACGGCTGCGTTGTAAACTCTGCCCTTCAGGGCGAGAGTAATGTCGCGTCTGCGCTACAGGTGGCGGAGATTGGCAAAAGCACCTCGAGCTTTTACTATACGGTTCGTAACCTCATCTTCAATCCCACGGGTGCTAATATAGCTGCCAAGGTACTTGAATTCCTGAACGACTTCTAGCAGATCACCACCAAGCGTTAGCGCAGGGTTGGGTCCATGCCAATCTTGGAGAAGTACTTTGCATTTCGATGGAGCAAAGCATAGCCCAAAACGATTGACAGCCAGTGCTAATCGGTCCAGTGCTCTTTGGCATGTTTGTGGACTGTCACAGATTAGGGCAATATCATCCGCATACTCCAGGTCAAGAAGTCGCTCACCAGGAAGTAGCTCCACACCTTCTAGGTCGTGTCCAGCGAACGCTGTTTCCATGACTTCATCAATAGCGAAGTTGAAGAGGAAAGGTGACATCGGGCATCCTTGTCGGTGTCGGATCAAATGCACTCGATTCCTTCTGAGCGTTTTCCCTCCAACATTTATTTCGCATGACCTTGCACCGACTTTCGCAGTCATCGCACCATTTTTTTACCGCTCTTGACCATCGGGTGCTGGTTGAACACGCACTTTCTTCGCCACTATCAGCTCAGGCAGCCCCCATGGACCGCGGTAGTAGTACCTGGGTCATTCGTCTTCTCAGATTGTTCTGTAACCTCTCATGGTGTGGTGAAACTGAGCGCAAAACAGTGGCAGATGCCGGCATCGGAGTTCTGGTCCTTCGGCTGTATAGACGCTGCACTGGGCTCAAACCGAGGTCCGTTGAAGTAGTGTTGCCCTTCTCCAGTAGCGTGAAGTACAGGGCTTCGCCAGTAGCTCTAGTCATTAAGGACAGTTGCTTGGTCTGCTTCACTGCTGACTCCGCCATTCCATTCGATTGGCTATGATATGGGCTGCTTTACTAGTGCATAAATTCCCACTTGGTTGCGAACGCCCGATATGCAGCGCTGGTAAACTGAGGATAATTGTTGGAGATCAGCCCTTCCGGTATTCTGTGCCGCGCGAATCGACAGCTGAGCTTGTTGATTACTGCTTCTGTGCTCGTAGTGGTGAGTAAATCGATTTCAAAATAATCACTGTGGTA